AAGAATATCGACTCACCACACTGAGCAATGCGAATCAAGCTTTGTCTGATTACAGGGCGCTGCTCTAATCCCCAACGATCTCCACATAACTTTAATACATCCCAAAGCGCCAAACACAATATCAACCCTACAAGCGCAAGCAGCTTTTGGTACCTGTAACCCAAATTTATCAACATTCAACTAACAATCAAATTGCACTAAAATCAAGAAACCAAGCAACAGATATAAAATCCTGCAGCTACATAATATTTGCTAAATTTGGACCAAGTACTATCTTCAAATCTCCAAGCCCTTAACATCTTTTTTGTTTGACAAGTACTCTGAAATCTAAAGGGCTTGAACATATCAGCCAATAACTGAAACTTTGTCCAATGTGAAACCCTAGCTTTTATATTACAATTGCTTCAGCTTTCAAATTTCAATTGGCACATATAAATATATACCAAAGACCTATACATGTTCTTTATGTCATACAAATGATATATTCTTGAGGAAGAAAGAAATTACGTAGAGTGCTTTATAACTTAAATTAAGAACTATCCAAATCCTTATCAAAAAGAACTATCTAAATACACTATCCTCCGAGTGAGCCTCATTTAGCTCTCAGAGCCTAACAACCTCAAACTTCTCATACAAAGTCAATCAATCAATCAACCAACAACTCAATTCTAAACTAGTTGGAGTCAGTTACATGAATTCTCTATATTCCTTCTACTCCATTCGGACCGGTTTCAGGTGTACTGCTTAAAACAAATCCAATATTCAACTTATCGCAAATTTTAACCATTATTAATAGTACAAATTACAATCGATAACATATACTTGTCAATGTCCACATACATGCTTAAAAAGTCAAGACACACTAATATACATACATAATGTGTATGTATGTGTGTGTGTATAGAGAGAGAGAGCATACAGAGAGCAAGCGAAGAAGAGGAGGAAGAGAGAGGTATAATTGCGGGCATAGCGTTTCACATTCTCGTGGACTCTAAGCCGAGCCTGAGAAGGCGAAGAAGGAAACGTGTATGAATCCAACGACCCGACGAACAGTCGTGTCCACGACGGCGTATCACCGGAAAAATCATCCGACGTGAGCTTCGCAAACGGATTAAGCGTAAAAAGCGACAGTAAGGTTCCAATATATGAAAATATCTGAACAAAGACCCCGTTGGAGATTGAAACTGCGGCGGCGGCAGAATTAGTAACAGCAGCAGCGTCGGAAGAGGAAGCGGAGGCGGCGGCTGTGGTGGCGGTGGAAGAGTGGCGGTGGAGATCGGTAGTCCGTTGATCGAGAATTTCGAGGTAGCCGGTATCTCGGAGCCAGGATTCAAATACGGGCTCGGGTACACTTAGAGATAACGGGTTGGATGAGAATGCCATTTTCTTTCCCTCTTTATCCGTAGCGTTTGGTGGGAAATCATATGAGTAACCAACAAAATCATCGGGCTCCTCCTTGGTTTTTCTAAATTTTTAGGGCGAATTTCGAATATTTTTTGGTGAGCACTTTATTCGGAAAGTATCTTATGCTTTCTTTCAATTGAACTCTTACTTTTATTTTAATCTTTTACCATATAATATAAGATTTCAATTAGCTCAACTAATGTAGATTCACGTCCCATAGATTTTATTAAAAAGAATATTTTATTTTTGTGATAAGGAAAATGCTCTTCTTTATTCGAATGCTCACCTACGGTTTATTAGTATTATTATTATTTAGCAGGAGCTATGACGTTATTCCTAATTACCAAAATATTACAAAATGATCTAATATGGTCTATACCTGTTAATCGGCCCGTTCACAACCTGATTCGACCCGGTTCAACCGGGTCAGCCCGGTACTGTAGGGGTGGGGAAGGGCTGGGACGGGTTGGGCGGGGAGCGGGTTTTGGACGAACGATTTTTGGTAACCGGTGCACCGGAACCCGGTTAGCGCGGTTACCGTTACAAAAAAAAAAATCTGGACCGTTGCCAACGGTCAAATTCAAAAATGACCGTTGGGCAACGGCCCTTTTTGGCAAAAATGACCATTTCGGCCTACCCCTTAAGAAAATAGCTCCCACCCCTAATATTTGATAAATTACAATTTTAACCTTTTAAAAACTATAAATAGCCCCCTTCTTTTTTATTTTTCTCACAATTCACTCTCTTACTACTCTAATTCTCTCTCAATTCTCTCTTGATATATTGATTATTGCTCTTAAATTCTCAATTACTTATTATTTCAAGTTTCATCAAATATTTAGTTTAGCCATTACAAAATTATTATTATCAAATATCAAGTATTCAAGTGAAGTGTGGTATCAAGTATCGGTCTATCAATTGAAGTTTGATTTTGATATCAAATTTAGTGCGGCATCCAGAATCCCGGTACACTCGTTCCATCTCTTTCTCTTTTTGATGTATATTTTTATTTTATTATTTAAAATTATTAATTTAATTTCTTAATTTAATTTACTTAATGGATATATCTAGAGCGACCAAAAAAGTGTGCACTAGTAGGGGTAGTAGTAAGAGTAAAACTTCTAAAAAATCAAGAGGTGGTGCTGATTCTTCTAGTAGCTTTACACATATTTCTGAAAGTTCACCTGAAAATTTAAAATGTAGATTATGAGCGACTTCAAGAAAACTATGGTATAGATGATGATTTAGATGATATTCAATCACCTGATAATCTTGAAACACCACCAACTACACCTAGTAATGCAAGTCAAACTCAAAATATTAGGGGTGGAGGTGGTGGTAATATAAGTAGGCTTCCCCTCCCTATTAAGAGGAACCGAAGATTAAGAAGTAAGTGTTGGAATTTTTTTGAAAGACTAAAGGAAGATAAAAATTATGTAAGATGTCAAATTTGTAAGGATGTATATAAACATGAGACCGATAAAAGAGGGGGAACGGGTCAACTTCGTAGGCACATGGTAGAGAACCACCCTATTGCATGGGGTACTAATGAGGAAGATGGGCAACAAAAATTTAACCCGGGTACTGGCGGTTTAATGGGTAAATACGATATTAAGAAAGATCGGGAAGAATAAGTTAAAATGATTGTTTTAGGTTATTTACATTTTAGTTTTGCTGTTTCACCATATCTTGTTACTTATATTCAAAGAATTTATAACCCTTTGTTTAAAGGTATTCCTAGAAATACTTGTAGAGCTGATATTAGGCTTTTTAGACAATATCAGACATATATCCGTTATTTGTTCGCTTGTCTTTCTTGTAGAGTTTCTCTTACTTCTGATATTGGTCGTGCTATAAATGGAAATGATTATTTGACTGTTACATGCCATTGGATAGATGATAATTTTTGTATGCAAAAACGTATTATTGCTTTTAAATATGATGAAGATCAAAGTCATACTGGTGCATTTATAAGTATACTATTCATGAAGTTGCTATATTTTATAATCTTGTAGAAAAAGTTTTGTGTATGTCATTTGATAATGCTTCTAACAACAATGCTGCTATTACAATATTAAAATTGCATCTGCACCCACCACTTCCTGGAATATTTCATGTTAGATGTGCATGTCATATTTATAATTTAATTTTGAAGAGTGGCCTTGAATTATTTAGAGATAAGATCCTTTAGTTAGAAGAGTTGTTGGTGTAATTCAAGGACTAAAATGTGTACAATATGCACTAAAACCAAGACTCATGCCTGAAGAAATAGTTACTAGGTGGAATTATACTTATTTATTCTTAAGATGTTGTTATAAATAGGCAGAATACATAGACAACCCCTTAAACTTGGCCATATTTTTCACTTAGGCACTTTAACTCAACTCATGACCTATTGGCCACCTCAACTCTATTTAAAGTGTTTCAATTAATTGGTTGCCTTGGGAGAGGAAAGTAGTGACATGTCATTTTTTTCCAACATGTTTCTTTCTAATTGGTTGCCTTTTCCACGTTGAATGCGTGAGGTGCACACGCTTTTATTTGTGCACAAAGTTTTCAACTTGGGTTTAATTGGGACACTTTGAATAGAGTTGAGGTGGCCAATAGGTCATGAGCTGAGTTAAAGAGCCTAAGTGAAAAATATGGCCAAGTTTAAGGGGTTGTCTATGTATTCTGCCTTATAAATATAAAATGCCTATAACTGAAGTTGCTAATTCTCATTGTACCGATCCTAACCGTTTGTTAACATCTAAAACTTGGGATGTCATTGAAGATGTTGTAAAAATTTTACAAAAATTTTATGTGGCTACAGAGCTTATTATCCTACTATTGCAAATGGCTTAGTTCATATTGCTGAAATTTCTCTTTTACTCCATAATTTGAAGAAGAAAGAAAGATATACTTCTGTTGTTGAATCTATGCTAGATAAATTCAAAAAATATTTCTACCCAATTTCCCCTATTTACCTAATTGGTGATATTTTAAACCCTTATATCCAAATGGTCACTTGTCGCCAATTAATCACTGTTTTATATGTTTATATAGATATTGGACTAACTGAAACTCCTGATATTGAAACTTGTATTTCTGATCTACACAAACATTTATAAACTTTATATAATTATTATGCTAACATTTTTTATGCTTTTGCTGTTGTATATGCAAATATTCCCTCAAGTTTAGTTTCAACATCTAGGACAGGTGCTTTGGATGATAATGATGGTGTTGAAGATTATTTGATTTGGTCTACACTAGGAGAGCATCAACAAACCAGTAGCAGGAATATTGATGAACTCTAATTCTACTTGCAAAAGTCACCAGAGCCCCGCACAAAGGAATTCCTACCGCTGGGTTGGTGGAGGAGCAACTCAAATCAATTTCCTGTTCTTTCGACCATGGCTTGAGACGTACTAAATGTGCCAATTTCAACAGTCGCATCAGAGAGCGCATTTAGAGATTGGACAGCAACTAGGAGATACCCGTCATTCATCGGGCAGCAACGCTTTGGAAATTCTAGTGTGCTTCAGAGATTGGATAAGATCAGAACGGCGAAATCAAGGGTGTGAAGAGGTAGATGAAGAGGAGGACGAAGAAATTGGAGATATAATGGTTTATGGTTCCGATTCAAGCAATGCCGGAAACCAAGAACCTCATGTTGATATGGATGAACTTACAAAAATGATGCAAAGCATGTGATGTACTATTTCTTATTTTTTATGATTGTCGTAAACTTTTAATTTGCAAGTTCAAAAATCAAAAAATCGAAATAGAACTTGCAAATTAATTTGAAGTATTATATATTATTCAATACAAATATAAAATAAAAGCCTTCGGAGCTTGATCCTTACATATTGCCTATTGGTCTTATTATATAATTTTTTGTAGCCACTTACTTTCAAATTTCAATTTTAAATTTAAAACTTTAAACTTCAAAGTTTAATTCTAAGCCTTAAATTTTGCAAACACTTAAATATCAATAACATTGAATAAGAAAAATAAAATTTACTTTAAAAAAAAAAATAATTAGCCCGGCCCCGTCCGGACGCGTTAAGCCCGAACCCCGACGGGCCAAAAAAACCCGAAAAATCACTGCCCGCTAACCAGCCCCGAATGATAACCGGACGGGCTGATTTTTTTTGTGTACAGCCCGTAACAACCCGCCCGTTAAACACCTTTAATATGGTCATAGCAAGGGAGAGGACATTGCTGGCAAAAACTAATATGTTATCTTGCTTTCTTCATTCAAATAAAAGATACAGAAGATTTCTTGACTGACTTGTACCGATTCCAATTGTATATTTGAAGCATTTCTCAGAACAATTTTAAATTCTATACTGATATTTGAGAACTTAGACACTCGATATAATTGATCAACTCTAATGTTCGAACCCTCTTGCCCAGTTAGGTTTTTCTTCTCCTCCAAAGTGCATAAATATGAACTTAAGTTTTGTTAGGCTTTCAAAGTGCATAAATATGAACATAAATTTTGTTAGATATTTCTGCAAATCCAACAGAATTTTTTTACTGTGCTCCTCCCTCAATCTAACTCTGCCTTATTGTCTATTGACATATTTGTTTGAATTTTTAATTTACGAATAGAATTAACCTCTAAGTAAAAATTTTGCATATTACGCTATCACACAATTTTGGAATGAAATGCACCGTAGTACAGTGGATTCATACATATTACATTAACTAACTTGAGATTAGAGGCATAGTTGATTGATTGATGAAGCCATCCCATTCTAGAATGTTAGTTTACTGTTGATAATTTAAGTCCTTTCCACTTTTTACGTTCAATACTTAAAATTGAGAAGTAGTTGTCATGCTTCAAGCTATAGCTATTCTTTACAAATCAACGGTCCAGCATGAGGAAATAAGTCCCGAATCTACTAATTAGTGTCTAAAAAGAAATGGAAGGCAATTATTGCTTGATCAAGGTATAAAAAATACCTAAACAAAAGCGTTTTTGTTCAACATTTTTTTTTTTTCAAACAAAGCATTCTGTATTCACGTAGGATTCAAGGAAGGCCACACCCCTAAGGGTCTGATGTAGACAGAGTACCCTAATACTTGCATTAGTGGCCGCTTCCACGATTCAAACCGTGACCTATAGCAGAAATAGTATTACCGTTACTCTGGATCCCTTTAAACAAAAACCATTTTTAAGTTAAAAGATTGCTCTCTTCTAAATGGGAATGGTAATGCCACTGGGGCATTGAACTTTCAAACAGACGTGCAAAGATCATACCTAACTGTGAATCATCAACCATACTAGCTCTTAATTTCTATTTTGCACACATAAGGAAAAACTCCTTATATAAGGAATATCATATACAACAAAACACTTATGTAGAAGCTTCTTTTCTATATCTACAAACTAGACCTACAAGATACAACCACACAATGGTTAGATACAAAAAGTTTCTTTTCTATATCTACAAACTAGATCTACAAGATACAACCACACAATGGTTAGATACAAACAGTTTCTTTTCTATTAGATCTACAAGATAAAACGACACAATATTTAGATATAAACGTAGCTAAGCCTATGCATCCTCAGCATCACTGATACTCGGACGAGTATCGATGTAGAATTCAGTGTCAACTCCGTCAATGATCCTATCTCTGTTAAAATACAATCAGAAGAGCATTGTAACGTTTTATGGAAGATATGCAAAACAGACCAACATTTTCAAGTAGAAATACAGAATGTGAACAAACGTGGAAAAAAAGGACACACCTTTCAAGAACAAACTTCCCTTCTTTATACTTCTGGCTTTCCTCATGTGCAGACTCCTGCATGATAGAAGTGCAGAATGCAAGTCGTTTAACAAATTTAACAAACTTCCCAGTGTAGGTATATCATGATTCATGCATGTGCAATTGGTAACACGTGTATGGTCAAAGGTGTAACTATTTCCATCCTCTTTTTGTGTGTGTGCGCATTCACACACTTGTGTGCTACATGAAGGGGAAAGAGAGAAGAAGGAAAGAGAGGAAATACATATTTCCAGCCAACAATTTGCCCACAACAGCAACAAAATATGTCCGCTACCGTGTGCATCCCAGAAAGCATCACCCTCTCTTCATGAGGTCCAACAGTTACATTCACCCTGGATCACAGAATCAGACAGACAGGTCAGACCTCTGCATTTATTGCAAAGGAGCATAATTCGGTAAAGAGATAATGATGCTAGTAAATATATCATCTATTGCACCATGCAGAAGGCCAGATGTAGAATATGATTTACCTAGCTGATGTTTTCCTCTGGAAATCTGATCGAAACTAAAATAAATAACTGAAATTACATTTTTCCTCTAAACAAATCAGTTCCTACTATGATGTAAACTAATCCGTCCTTTATTGAGCAACTAGAAATGATTCAGCTTTTCCTATCAACAGATAATCCTAAGACAAGATAGCAACACCTTAGGAAGTCACTGCAGAGTGCTCTCGTACCATTTACTAAGACAGATAATCCTAAGACAAGATAGCAACACCTTAGGAAGTCACTGCAGAGTGCTCTCGTACCATTTACTACCACTCCTTAACTTGGTCTACAGCTTCCTCATTTGAAGTGCGAAACACAGCAATTGTTTGTCAATTTTTACCATTTCAATCCAGCATATATCATCCTGTATTTGAACTTACCTAAGTGGATTACCTATTAATTTGGAGATCTAGACATGGGCAATGAAAACTCGATCTAGTGTTGCTGATCATAACATACTACCTGGACAGCCAGGTTACTTTAAGGGAGCTGAACTCTAGAAGATAGATATGATATAAGAAAATTTACAATATTTTGAATATTAGAAACAGCAATCAATAATTTCTATCCAAATAACGCTTCAGCTCAATACTCATACTCAATGCACATACTCAAGTTGCTGATGTTTAGTGCGCTGATAAGTTAGCTTTTTAGCTAATTTCTCCAATATTTTGATAGAGTTTTATGCCCTATTTATTGGAACAAGTTGTCTAATTATGCTTTGAATGGTGTACTTTCAGGTTTTGAAATTGTGTGAGAGCTTAGAGATTGAAAAGCATCACTTATCCGCAAGAAAGGGATCAATGTCAAGCCAAAAATGCTGAAAAAATAAAATATGTAGCTGGAGACACAGGGCCTCTACGCAACAAGTAGACCTGGAGAACTGAAAATTTGGGGAATCACTAAAATTAGTTTCACACAACAGCGTAGCTATGTAGCATAAGTCCATCTACGCAGAGAAAGAAGTTGTTGTGCGTAGCTACGCACCAATTCTTGCATAGCTACGCAGGCATCCAAGGGGCAATTTTGTCACAACTTTTAGACGACTATAAATAGATTCTTAGTTGATTTTCTTAGGTCATCTTTCATTCTCTTGTACTTCATAATTCCTTTTAGCTATTTCAGGAAGGATTGAAGGATATTCATCATCGTGTTTGAATTTTCTTATTCTTTTAGTTTTATATCTTTTCATCTCAACTCTTATTTTCCATTTCTAGTATGAGTAGCAAAGATCCATAGTTGGGGTTATAAACTCTTATGGTGTTAATGTGATTGGGTCTTTGTTTATCTTGCTAATTATCTATTTGTTTTCATCAAGTTCACACACTTTTGGACACTTTAGAACGCGCCTACTCCTTGTAGTTCGACACCAACCTAGTTGGTTTTAAAATTGCTAATAACTCTGCTACGCTTCACTTAGAGGTGTAGGACGGGACGTCACTAATTTTTGGCGCCATTGCCGGAGATCGAACCCGAGTCACCCGCCTGACAGGCGCGAGGCCTTGCGTAGCTACGCAAGATCTCCAGCTATATATTTCAGCATTTTTGGCTTGACGTTGACCCCTTTATTGCGAATAATTGATGCTTTTCAATCTCTAAGTTCTCAAACAAGTTCAAGAGCTGAGCAAATATACCATTCAAAGCATAATTAGTCAATTTGTTCCAATAAAATGGGGGATAAAACTCTATCAAAACACAAGAGAAGTTAGCTAAAACTAACTTATCAACTCCCCCAAACTTACACTTTTGCTTGTCCTCCAGTAAATCAAAACACAACCAATAACTCCCAAGACTAACGAGATACTTAGACAAGCAATCAAAGTCAACAACAAACAACACTAAGGCCTCCAAATTTACCTCTTCATCACACAACTTTCTTTTGTTCATTCATCTCAATTGGGAGAAAAAACAACTTAATAACTCAAGTTTTCATGTGGCCTCACAATCAAAAGAAGATCCCACACACACAATATGCATTTTAAAAAAAAAAAAAAAAGTGGGATATCAAATAAAAAGAATTAAGCACTCTCTCTCACAAAAAATATTCAAATGATCAAAAGTGGTACCATAGGCATGCCCCTTGTGTAAATCAATCATTAATGTAGGTGCGCCAATTTCAAAATTTTTTAGGATCTGCGGGAATGTAATGTAGGCTTTTTGTTAGAGGTAGCATATCAATTTGGGTTATAAGTGACAACGACCTTCCTGAGCACTACACTTTCAACAATTCAAAGCACATTTCTTTTCAAAATTCTACCCATTTTGCTCATATTTCAACTTCAAACACTTTGTCACACCCTTTATATCACAACTCTTTTTAATCAATTTTTTTAATGCATTTCTCTATTTTCCTTTTTTTTTGTGAATATGTATAGGTAGGGTATCAATATGGTAAAATCACTTCCACCTTCAATTTAACTTCATTTAGCTTCCACCATACTCTTTTCCCGTCTCTTCCCTCAAACTTAGGCTAAGAGCCAAAGTTGTAGCTTCAATTGCTCAAGAAGGTCGGGGCATCAAAAGAGGTCAAGACAAAAGGGAAAAGACTTGTAATGTGGTTGCCAATGAAAATGCTAAAGGCTCAAGCAGGTTGACTAGGGTAAACATGCAAAGGGTAGGCAATTTAAGGCACAAGCGTCCAAGGAAAGCCTAAAATCATTTTTCAAACCAAGTGCAACCTGCGTTTTTTTCTTGAAACACACTTAGGCCAAGTTCTAAACCACAAGAATGCAAAAGAACTCAACAAGAACCTCAATACTCATGGCACATGTGAAACTCAAGTAGGATATGTATTCAAAAGCCCAATAAAAACAAATGAACTCAGAAAGTCACACATAGCTTGAAAGGCCACTGAATGAATCGAAGAACCAAAGATAGAACATCACAACAAAGACTATCACTTCAATTATTATTCATTTCAAAACCACCAACAACTCATATGCTAAGGTTTAACTTGTATTAGCACCAAACAAGTCACAAGTTGACTTTGGGACAACTACATTATTTTATTCACTACTACTATTAAAAAGCTAGAAACAATTAAGAGTGTCTGGTTCAATATTCTTTGGGAAAGAACCATGGCAAAAAAAGATCCAAAGAGATTATTGCTAACTCCAAACATGAACTAAACAAAAGCTAGACTAAAATAAGAGAAAATATCAAAGAGACCGAAAATCGTTATGTGCAAATGGCATCATGAACAACCCCAAACACAAAAATTTGCACTGCCCTCAATGCAATTAAAATAAAGTTGGGGGAAAGGTACAGAAAACTTCCTCAATCCAAGTGTGGTGGCATCCGAGCCGATCTAAGCTCCTCAACACTAAGTTCTCCTAGACGCGATGTCCTAACCACAATAGTGCGAGAGTGAGCAGACGCAACTGTGTGCTTATCAGTAGGCGGCTCACTCTCTCATCCTCGTCTAAAGCTTCATCTCTAATGGCATCCCCACAAGTCTAGGAATCATCTCGTGGAGATCGGCCCACACTGTGCTCCTCCAACCTGCTATCCATATTCGTACTATACCATCCACGGACTGAAGCGTATCCAAAATGGCATTTTCCTCCTTACTCTTCTCCCTAACTTTAGCAGCTTCTTTCTCCCGATTGTATTGTGCCGCTTGAAACATCACCAAACTTCGCAATGTTGACTCCGTTGGTGCTAAAATTTGCATGTGCCAAATGCCTCGAAGGGGAACATTGGATGTATACGTCAAGCTTGTCATTTGTGTTCCGAACGGATGAGCCAATCTATTGAACCTCCTTTATAAACTCTACAGAATTCAGTAAGTAGCCAACATAAGGCATGTCAAGGAACAAGTGGTTGACTTTGAAACAATAAGAGATGTGGTAGAGCCACCAGGGGTAATGGTGACAGAGGGTGGCAATGATGGTAGAGTAGGAGCTCTTGATGGTTTCTTCTTCTGTGGTGCACTAGTAGCTGATTTTTCGTTGATGTGCCTTATGATATGGACTAGAATAGGAGTGGATTGAGTAGGCACCTTATACTTCTTGAGGAGATTGGTTATATAACCAGGGACATGGCATAACATATGTGCTACTAGAAAATTTATCTCGCAGCTCCTTCACGATTACCTGACTCACATCTATAGGCCATGTTGACATAATTCCTACAATGAGGATGGTCCTTTGTTGAGAGAGCTCAAACTAATTCTTCGTTGGCATTAATCTGTTACACACAAAAGCGGTCCAAGCCAAGGCTGTGTTGTTAAAAACCCACCTTATGTATGCCCCTGAGGTTAACTATGTTGGATCTGGCTCATCCTTCTTCACGATCACTGCTGCTCAGACTCTATTAGAAGCAAGATTAACTTTACGCAAAGAGGTGTTAAACTGACTTTGATCTTGCAATGTAAATCTCAATTGATTGTTGAACTCTTATGCATTAAATAGGATGCTCACACCTCTAGTTTTGAATTTAGACACTGCCTCTTGCTCCTCCTTTTTCAAAGCAAAACCGTGAGCAAAAAATTCCGTCACAAGTGTCTCATTGATAGGCAAAGATTGTGTGAGGGGTAACCATTTCTTTTGTACTAATCCATCATAAAATTCTGAGCAATATTCTTTAGCATCGTCTACAATGAGAACATGGTCCTCATTAAGCAATCTGTGTTGTAGCTCTTCAAATGCTTGTTGCATCTCTTTATGAAGTATCATTAGGAGGGTGTTTTGATTGGCTTATTTTAAGTGCTTATTGGCTTTTAAGCACTTTTTTAGTTTGTGTGGTGTTTGGCAATGATAAAAAGTGCTTAAAGCACTAACTTTTAGGCATAAAAAGTACAAAAATAAGCCAAAAGCCAAAAAGTTAGGTATTACCAACTT